AAGAACGCTAGAGCTGTAATAACGGCGAATGAGTGGTCCGCGACAGCCGCGTGCGGCGAATCGATTACCCAAAATCGTTTCTAATGCCCGTCTCCCGGGGAAGAGCACCGTTGGTGGTGATAGGGTTGCCTCGTGCGAAAAGTCGGTGTGGGATAAGAACTAGTCGATAATCGATTCGATTGGCTCAAACACCCCTTTGATGGAAAAGAGAGTCGAGCGAAGGTGAGGGATCCAGCCAGCAAAAACTTAAAACCACCATCAAAAAATTTCCTGAATCAGGAGACGAATGATGAAGCGAAGAGAGAATTCTACGTCTCAGCGTGAGCAAAACCGTCTAGTGGGAGCTGCCCGGAATGTATTGACAGCGATTCCTCCGCGAAGTAGCTGACTGGAAGTGGAGCGGCCATTCAGTACAGACCTCACCTTGCAGCCCTTGGTGACGAAAAATCAGCTCTGCCAGACAAATCCCTATAAGGGCTTCTAATCAACCACAGAAATCACTAATGAGAGGAAAGGCTACATCAGGACAACCGTTCCGACCTTGAAAGTTGTAACCTGTGGTTTTTCACTGGCCAAAAGACCCTGACTAGGTTGTTCTGATGAAGGGGTACGGTGGAATCTGCTAAGTATAGACTATCCTTTAAAACCTTTTTTCAGTGTTTATAATGATCCATGATCAGTGAGGATCATCTCATATCATCTCCAAGTCCCTAGTTTTCATCCAAACCTGCCTCAGCCACAAAAAGTTACCCTTCCTCGACGTCCTCGACGTTATAGCATAGATTTTATTGAAATATTTTACAAAAGATAAATAGGCAATCAATAATAGCCCAGAATTTAAGGAGCTAGAACAGCTCAGCACCAAAGATTTATTTGATAAGTTGAGGAGAGTTGTTGAGGGCCTGGCTCATCCTAGAGGTGAAATAGCCCTTCGAATTGCTGGCGTGAGTCGAATACTGGCTCGTGGAAACTGACAAGTTCGTTCCAAGGGGCCAGTGACGTTCCTTTCACTTGTCTCATTCAAATCCTTACCGCTCCAACGGCTCTATAGCCCGAAAACGCCCTCATCGGTAAGACCATATTGCTTGGCAACGAAATTTTCTCCACACTTTGCAAACTTATCAGACCCGACGTGAATACGCCGTCAAGCAATGGGCGGCTACATGAAAGGCGGCTGATAGTCCCTTGTGTGTGGTCCGGAGCCGGAGAGTTATCTTACCAGATCTACCCACCCTTCGGCGTCATCTCGACCCAAGAATGTTTTGTTTTTTACGTTTTTTGCACTTGAATAAAGACGAGGTATTATTCGACCGCTTTGCGAAAAGCCACCCATTTCGAGACCAACGGTACAGCTTCTGTATTACTAAGTGTCAGCGGAGCTAATGATTTGCACTAGTCCGTGTATCCTCATGCCGGTTCTCACCGACCCTTGTACGAGTCACAGC